CGGCTCCTCGGTCTTGCCGCACTCACCGCTCGTCCGCAACTGCGGCAGATCGCGCCTCTTCGTGCTTCCGCTTGCTCGCCCGACTTGCGCGTCCGTGGCCGACGAAGACGATGTTTTGGTGGGTGCCCTCGCACCAGTGCGTGCTGAAGGTCTTCTCGTTGAGCTCCTTCTGAATGACCTTGCCGATTGGGGGCAGCGCTGCCAAGCCGAGCTTTCTTCTGACTCCGCTACTGCGGTCAGGGTCATCCTCCCACTTGGGCATGTACTTCGCTGGGACCCAGCGCCGAGAGTTGATGGAGTCGCTTGTTCGATGCATCCAATCAGGGAGCCACTGGGGATCGTTCTTCGACGGCCTCCCTGCAAAATCAATGTTGTAGTCCGCAATGCGCACGTCGCACGGGCCAATGGGGAGGACGTAATTCGGATGCATGACGCGTGTGCCCTCCACAATGCCTCCGAACAGGGCGGGTCCAGCCCTGAACACCACCCCCACCGGGCAGGTGTAGCTGGCTCCGCAACTGCGGCCAAATGCTTGGAGCTGCTCAGGCGGGATGTCAAACAGGCCGCACAAGAACCGCACATTATTTTTATGGATGGAAGCAACCGCGTCCTTGAAGAAACTTGGATGCCACGCTGTTTGTTCTGATTGCGTGATCTTCTGTTGGAGACGTTCGGTGACTGCGTGTCTGGACACGACGGCAATACGGATCACCGCGGCAGGATTCATGTCGGAGCCCTTCAGGCGAAAGCGCAGGATCGTGACGGCGTGGGTGGCCCCAACAACATGACCCGCAACTGCGGTCTCTGCGATGATGTGCGGGCGCACGAGCACCACGCCCGTGTCTCTGAACAGGGCAACCGTCGTCCAGTAAGGCTCCACGGAGGCGTTTTTCAAAGTGACAGCGTCGTCGACGGCAGTCCTGAGTCCAACGCGAACGTCGTAGCTGCAAGCGCCTTCGACGTTCCCCGTGCGGAACAGCTCGGGGTCCCATACGACGAAGACGACCGCCGCTGTTTGGTGCAAGATGCACCTGAAGACATCTTCCTTTGTTGCCACCTTCGTGATGACCACCACGTTGAACACCAAAGCGATGGTGGACGGAACCCGATTGCCGTCTTCTGTACGAAGGAATCCTTCGTTCCACTTGGGGCGTTCCCCAAAGTAGTTTTTCCCTGGAGGGGACCTGGTCCGCTGCTTCTTCCGCGGTGCTCCCGCATCTTCCCGCAACTGCGGTTCCGACGGAGGCCCCGCGCGACCCCGCGACTGCGGTTCTGACAGCGGCGAGTCTTCCGTGGGAGGCGGCCTTTTCCTCGGACGCGAATCGGCCGAGGCGGTTGTCTCGGCGGCTTTCTCCTGGGAAGCGGCCTCGTCTTCGGGTTGGGCGCCTCGTTTGGACTCGGCTGCGAGCAGCACGGCCGAGGGCGCGCTGCTCCCAGATGAGCCGCGCGCGGCACCTGGCTCGCCGGCCACCCCCGCAACTGCGGTCTCGGTGGCGGCTCCCGTCAATGCTGGTTGGTCCTGCTGCTTCGTCGGCGTCTGCGCCCGAGGCCCCCATTTTGCCTTGGGGGTCAAGTGCGCCCTGCGCAACTGCGCCTCTTCGCGCCTCCCACCAGCAGAGCTCCCTCTCGCAGCGCTTATCGGCGGCGGCGGCCGATATTCCCGCGAGGAGCTAGACGACTGCGGGGAGGCCTCGCGCGGCGGTCGCTCGGGGCTTCCGCTACTGCGGCCCTCCGTCGGCTCCGCGACTGCGGCATCCGCGGCAGCCCCTTGCAGGCCGAACCTTTCCCGCAGTTGCTGCTTCAGCTCGGCGAACCGCTTGTCGACCTCGGCTTTGCGACCTGGGTCCATGGCGTGGCCGCGCGCGGCCCCCGTCCGACGGGGGACCTGCGGCCGGCTTGGGAGAGGAAGGGCAACGAGGGAGACGGCGGGGATGAGGACGAGGAAGGCGAAGAGGAGGATGGAGAGGACGCGACGGAAGAGGATGGCGCGAAGAGCTCTGACGAGGGTGAAAGGAGCAAGGGGACTGCGACGAGGATGACGGGGCAGAAACGGAGGAGGAGGAATCAACAAAGTCCGCAACTGCGGCCCTCGGGGGGGACTGCGACGAGGACGACGGGAAATGACTCGGCCAACGGAGGCGGGCTACGGCCCACGGAAGGAACTGCGACGAGGAGGAAAGGCGGAGGGAGGAGACTGCGACGAGGACGACGGGGAAGGGGCGACGAGGACGACGAACAACTGCGGATCCATCTGTTAAAGTACCTGTCTCCGCAACTGCGGCCGCGCTAATTAACGTCACGAGTGCTTCAACGGAGGTGATGCGCGCCCGAAGCACCTAATTACAGCGGTCAGTCGTGGGGGCGCCGCAACTGCGGCCAAGCTGTATGAAGTCGCTAGAAGGCAGCGCCGCAACTGCGGCCGAAAGCGCGCATAGTGAGTCAAACGAGCGCGGCGTCACGCGATCGGTCCCCGCAACTGCGGTTCATGGCTGCGCAATCCCGCAACTGCGGTGTCAAGGCTGCGCGGACCACCGCGGTTGCAGCTGCGCCCCCTTGCTCGCGTCGAACCGCCCAGGATTCGGATGGGCGTGCAGCATCTTCCAGAACGTGAACGTTCCGTGGCCATCGCTCTTGCCGAGACCTGCCCTCGGGCCCCGCACGGGATGCGAGTGCGGCTCCACCTCATACGTGTTGAACTTCGGGCTAGACCAGGATGGGTGGACGCGAATGCCCGTGCCGTCGTCGCGGATGAGGACGAAATCCCACTGGGGCAGAGGGATTCTTTGCGCCTGTCCTCTGTCCACCCCTTTCGTGTGCCTCATGTTGTCGAGACTGCTAGGGCACGGGCGGCACTCGCAGCGGACCAACCCGCGACTGCGGTAATTGTCAGGGCCGCACACGACGCGCAGCATTGTAGGTCCATCCATCTGCGCGACCATCTCCAGCCAAGACCACGGCACTTTGACAGTGTGGTCCCAGTCCCAATCCCTGTTGTCCTGCGCCTTCCCCTTTGCGCGGTACTTAAGGATCTTCGATATTTCCTCCGCAACTGCGGTACCTCCGAAGACGGGCGTGCGGCTGCCGAAAGGGTTTTCTCGGTCTTCGTACTCGTCTCGGAACCACTTCAAGGCCGCGTTGTGCTGCTTATAATTGCCGTTCCAGTTCGCCCTGAAGATCTCGAAGAATTCCAACTTGAAAATTGGCAGCGGCTCATTGCGCACAATTTGAAACAGCGCAACTGCGCCTTGTTCTTCGCGCCCTGGGGGAAGCAGGGGACCGCCTCCTTTGCCCGCCGCTGTTGCGGCCGCGGGCTCCGCGGCAGGAGAACCTGCCGTGGCACTCGAGCGGCCACCTTCCCATGCATTCTACCAGCCACCCTCGTCGTCCCACCAGCGGGCGCCCTCCATTCCCCAACCCTCGCATCCGTTGCCGCCCCATCCGCCGCCCTCCCATCCGCGACTGCGGTCACTTCCGTCGCCGCCATCATGCGCTTTTCCTCTCCATCCGCCAAGAGAATCTCCGCCGCCCCAGCCGCCACTGCGGTCACCTCCGCCGCCGTATCCGCCACTGCGGCCGCCCCAACCCCCAATTGTTCCCCAACCGCCGCCGCTGCTCTTTGAAGAATCCGCAACTGCGGCCCGTGTTTCCTCTTCCGCTTTGTCATCCCACCCTGCACGCATCTCTGCCCCGACTGCAGGCCGCGGAGGCGGGCGCGAGCCCGCCCAACCGCCGTGAATCCTACCGTCGGCGCGGGCTTGAGCCGAACGTGCATGGAGGAGGAGGATGAGGAGGAGGAGGGTGAATGTGAGGAGGATGATGCGTTCCTGGGAGGTGTGCCTTCGCGTGCAACACAAGAGCCCTGAGAATTCCTGAGGCCCCTCCAACTGCCAAGGACGCGGATGACAAGAAAGTCGAGAAGATTGGGAACCGATTGAGGATTAAGAGGCGTGCGACGAAAGGGATGATGATGACGAAGAGGAAGATCAGTGAAGGGGAGGAGCGGACAGGAATTATGGAGGAGTGATAGCAGAGGAGGAAGAGGGGGAAGGGGGAGGAGGAGGAGGAGGAGGAGGAGGGAGAGGAAAAGGGGGAGGAGGAGGAGGAGGAAGAAAGGAGGAGGAGGAGGAGGAGGAGGAGGAGGAGGAGGAGGAAGAGGAGGAGGAGGAGGAGGAGGAGGAGGAAGAGGAGGAGGACGACGACGACGAGGAGGAGGAGGAGGAGGAGAGGGAGAAGGAGAACGGGGACAGGAGGACAAGGACGGAGAAATATAACAAATGAGGGGGAGGAGGCGGAGGAGGAGGAGGACGAGGAGGAGAAGCAGGAAGAGGAGGAGGAGAGGGGGGAGGAAGAGTTCGCGTGAGACTGGGAGAACGAGGTAATTAATTAGAGAGGGAACGGGGGAGGAGGGAGGACAAGGAAGAGCATACAGCGACGAGAAGAGGAGAAGGAACAGACGAAGGCTCCTGCTGATCGCATTTCCGCATCGTTCAAAGCAGTGCCGGGGCACTGCTTTGAACGACTGGTGATGTTCAAAGCAGTTCCCCGGCACTGTGTTCCATCGTCGCCGTTATAAGGGCTATTGGATTATGGGGCCGCGAAACGTGTGAGGGGTGTGCAGTAATGTGCAGTGAAGGGGCACGGATGGGAGGAAGGGGGAGAGAAAGAGGAGGAGAGAGCCGGAACGCCAGGCGCTGTCCTGTCAAACCGAGGACCCGACACCACATGATGGTTGGGAACAATCACATGGCCTGAGTGAATCCTAAGACGGCCCACAAAGACTCCAAGACGCCCCCCAGACGGCCCCGAAAGGCCCCCAAAACAACGACACAGGAGCAGACGCGAGGCTTGTCCGGCAGTGTCCCCCGCGAAGCGGTTTGTACCAATGCGTTACCAACCGACGACGCATCCAAGTCGCTACTTGTGTCGTCGTCGTTGTCGTCGTCGTCCTCCTCCTCCTCCTCCTCCTCCTCCTCCTCCTCCTCGTCATCGTCATCGACATTCAGGGTCGGCGGCACTAGCCGTAAGGCTTACGCAATACAGTTGCCGCGAGGCATGCTTCTGGGACCGTCCCCCGGGACGAGTCCCGGCAGCGCGCCGGCGGCCATACGAGGACCATGCCCGCCGAGGAGGCCTTGGGCCAGGTCCCTGCGGGTGTCTGCAGAGCCATGCCAGACATTGGACGCGACAGCGCACGACGGCACCCACCAACTCCTTACCCGCTTCCCGTCGCCAGTGCGCTGCAGCGACGCGTGAGGCTGGGGCAGCGCTGTGCATGCTGCCCGCGCCGCAAAAGGCACGACGTCGGCATCCTCCCCGTGCCTCGCCCCGCCTTTGTGGGCGCGCGGGGCCCCGTGGGCGGGCGCCCGTGGGATCACGGCCAGGAAGCTGGGAACACACGCGGCTGGAGGCGCATGCGCGAATCACGTGCTCGGCTGGATCCACATGCCTGGCCCCGCGATGGCCGAGCGATGGGAAAACACGTGGCCGCGTCCTGCTCCCGCCAGGGGTGACAGCGTCACGAGGCGGCTCCGCGAGCCCCGAATCCCCACACGACCGATGCGGCGAGGGCAGTGGACAAGGAACCCTTGGGCCAGGAATCCAGGGCCTGGAAGCTGGTGGAACGCCCACTGAGGCCTGGCCGTGTACATCACCGCCCCCCTAGTGAGACCAAGAATCGTCCAGGGTAACAAGCCTCCTGGGAACATTCCTTTAAGGAACGCCCCCACCGTATCTCCCAACCCCCCGACATCCTCAATTTTTCATGACCTGGATCCCCAGCGTGCTGGAACCCATTCCCCAGGACCAGTTCTTCATCCCGAGTCGTGTTGTGACGGTCCCGAGGCCCCGCGAGGGCCCCCTGAGGCCGAACATTTAGAAACATATCCCGGCAAAGCAATCTAACAGCGATGTGTAGGAGCATATCTGGGCGCATTCCCCTTAAGATTCAGATGATAATCCAGTTGTAGAAATCTGCTGTTCTCGCAGTCGTAGTCGCATTCGCGATGACAGTCGCAGTGGCAACGGCAGTCGCAGTCACAGCCTCAGCCTCAGCCTGCCTCAGCCTCAGCCTCAGCCTGCCTCAGCCTCAGCCTGCCTCAGCCTCAGCCTCAGCCTGCTTCAGCCTCAGCATCAGTCTGCCTTCAGCCTCGGCATCAGCCTCAGCCTGCCTCAGCCTCAGCCTGCCTCAGCCTCAGCCTCAGCCTCAGCCTGCCTCAGCATCAACCTGTCTCAGCCTCAGCCTCAGCCTGCCTCAGCCTCAGCCTCAGCCTGCTTCAGCCTCAGCCTCAGTCTGCCTTCAGCCTCGGCCTCAGCCTCAGCCTGCCTCAGCCTCAGCCTTGCATCAGCCTCAGCCTCAGCCTCAGCCTGCCTCAGCATCAGCCTGCCTCAGCCTCAGCCTCAGCCTGCTTCAGCCTCGGCCTCAGTCTGGCACGCGCACGCTCACCTCAGCCTGCCTCAGCTGAGCCTGCCTCAGCCTCAGCCTCAGCCTCAGCCTGCCTCAGCCTCAGCCTCAGCCTCACCTGCTCTGCCTCAGCCCTCAGCCTGCTCAGCCTCAGCCTCAGTCTGCCTTTAGCCTCGGCCTCAGCCTCAGCCTGCCTCAGCCTCACCCTGCATCAGCCTCAGCCTCAGCCTGCCTCTGCCTCAGCCTCAGCCTCAGCCTGCTTCAGCCTCAGCCTCAGTCTGCCTTCAGCCTCGGCCTCAGCCTGCTTCACCTCAAGCATCTGTTTCTAGCCGTCTAAAGTCTTGGGGTCTGCCTTCAAGCTCGGCCTCAGCCTCCGCCTGCCTCAGCCTCAACCCTGCATCAGCCTCGAGCCGCTCTCCTCAAGCCTGCCTCAGCCTCAGCCTGCCTCAGCCTCAGCCTGCCTCAGCCTCAGCCTCAGCCTGCTTCAGCCTCAGCCTCAGTCTGCCTTCAGCCTCGGCCTCAGCCTCAGCCTGCCTCAGCCTCAGCCTGCATCAGCCTCAGCCTCAGCCTCAGCCTGCCTCAGCATCAGCCTGCCTCAGCCTCAGCCTCAGCCTGCCTCAGCCTCAGCCTCAGCCTCTGCTTCAGCCTCAGCCTCAGTCTGCCTTCATCCTCGCTCAGCCTCAGCCTCAGCCTGCCTCAGCCTCAGCCTGCAGCCTCAGCCTCAGCCTCAGCCTCAGCCTGCCTCAGCATCAGCCTGCCTCAGCCTCAGCCTCAGCCTGCCTCAGCCTCAGCCTCAGCCTGCTTCAGCCTCAGCCATCAGTCTGCCTTCAGCCTCGGCCTCAGCCTCCGCCTGCCTCAGCCTCCGCCTGCATCAGCCTCAGCCTCAGCCTCAGCCTGCCTCAGCATCAGCCTGCCTCAGCCTCAGCCTCAGCCTGCCTCAGCCTCAGCCTCAGCCTGCTTCAGCCTCAGCCTCAGTCTGCCTTCAGCCTCGCCTCAGCCTCAGCCTCCTGCCTGCATCAGCCTCAGCCTCAGCCTCAGCCTGCCTCAGCATCAGCCTGCCTCAGCCTCAGCCTCAGCCTGCCTCAGCCTCAGCCTCAGCCTGCTTCAGCCTCAGCCTCAGTCTGCCTTCAGCCTCGGCCTCAGCCGCAGCCTGCCTCAGCCTCAGCCTGCCTCAGCCTCAGCATCAGCCTGCCTCAGCATTCAAAATGTGGCCCGGGAATGGAGTTCTGGGAACTCGAAGAACACGAAGTGACCTACAGTTGGCTCCGGGCATTCAAAATCATACCCAGGAATGGAGTTCTGGGAACTCGAAGACCACGAAGTGGCCTACAGCTGGCTCCGGGCATTCAGAATCATGCCCAGGAATGGAAGTCTGGGAACTCGAAGACCACGAAGTGGCCTACAGTTGGCCCCGGGCATTCAAAATCATGCCCAGGAATTGGAGTCTGGGAACTCGAAGAACACGAAGTGGCCTACAGTTGGCCCCGGGCATTCAAAATCATGCCCAGGAATGGAGTTCTGGGAACTCGAAGACCACGAAGTGGGTTACTGATGGCTAAAAAAGGAGTTCCCGGATCCCGTCCGGGTCTCGCCCAGAGCCCCCTGGGGAGTCATGATGCTCTCTTTTGACCCCACTAGAAACCTATCAGTCTTCGCTGTTAGGTAAAAAACTCCCGTCATGATATAATCATGAGTCGAGGGGGTCTGGGCTCCGAGGGGAGTGCATCTCTCACTTCCGCCAGCTTCCACCAGCCTTGCCTCAGCCGGGGCGCCCTCGTTCTGCTTCCGCCGGCGTCAAGCCCTCTCTGGAGCGCACCATGTCTCCACAGCTTCCTGGCAGCCAGGGTGCATCCCTGGTGGCACTGCTCCAAGGGAAACTGTGTATCTCCCTCCCGCGGCAGAAACAGAGCGGGTGACCGTGGAGAGAAGGGGAAAAAAGAGATCAGCGATTGGACTCAGCGTGGCACTGCGCCACCCCTTGCTGGGCCTTGTCGGCTCATTGCTCGGCCTGGCCGGCCTGGGCCGGCATGGGGCGCGAACTGATGGAGTGGCCTGTATGGCCCCATCGGCGATGTCGACGTGAGGCCAATCGGGCTCCACATCGAGCCGCCTCGGCGACGCATCGGCGATGCGGCGCGACCCCATCTGCTCCGACCCCATCTGGAAGGCCCATGTAGATATAAAGGGCCGTGGTCCAGGTGCAGGCGAGCGGGCGGGCGGGCCCGGAGGGTGGGGCCCTCCGGGGCGGAAAAAGGAAGCCGTGCTCAGATCTGTTGCCGATGGGGAGCAGGAGGCCCGGCGAGCGAGCGAGGGGGGGAAGCGAGAAAGCGAGGGCCTTCTCAGGAGGCGTGGGGCTTCGCAGAAGCCATCGCGCCTTCGGAGAGGCTTGCTGCGCCCGTCGGGAAAGCTTGGGGAACTTCTCGGAAGGCCAGGGGGCTCCCGAGCCTGCAGAGGAGGCCCGCCCCTTCTCACTTCTCCCCTGGGCTCGCCACCGAGAGGCGGCGGCGGCGCATCGGTGTCGTGCTGAAGGTCGAACTGAATCGAACAGAGAAACATGGCATCAGCAATGACCGACTTACCGTCCGCGCATCGTGAGATGGCGACTTAATGACGGCCGCTCGTGGACTGAGAGCCTCGGGTCGTCCTCGCTCGACCACGGTTACACAGTGAGCACGACGACAAACATAGTTACATTCAAGAGGTTCAGCAACAACTTGGACCTCAAGAGACCCACGAGGCCGGCACCAGCAGGAGGAGGAGGAGGAGGAGGAGGAGGAGGAGGAGGAGGAGGAGGGGGGGGGAGGGGGACAAGGCGGGGGATGAGACAAACGATAGCGGAAACACATGGTTGCCGCCACGCATGGCAGTATGCCCATAACGCGCACTACCCCAAGTAGTTGCGACAGGCAAGAGTGAGAATCGCTGTTGACATGCATGGGATCACAAGTCAGGGAGTCACATCGTGACCTCATTGCCAGAGGAAGACGGCGAGCCATCAGAACCATGGAACTCTGAGGACAACAACTGCTCGGCCATCTGCTTGGTCAGCGGGCACCCGTTCTGAGATGAGCCCGGAAGATACACCCACGGAAGGTACTCTTTGTTTTCGGCGCGGAACTTGCGCCCCGACATGAGATCCATCACAAAATTGTACAGCCCCTGGTGGCGGGCGCGATGCGCCACCAATCTCGAATTCGGGTTGGCGATTGCCCAATTCACGGCCAGGTCACTGGGCCTGCTTTGCAGCATCCTCGAGAATTTCTCTGCATCCGCTGCCTCCCTGAAGTTGACGTGGAAATACCCCCTGTTCTGCCTGTTCACGAAATCCTTTGGCACGTACAGCAGGTCGAACGCTTTTGTGAAGCCGGATCCCTCGAGCATGGCGTGCACGTCATCCCTCCCGCACTTCGCATGTATCCCTTTCACGATCAGGGCAGTGTCGCCTGCCCCTGGCGGCTCCTCTGCCTCGTCTTTGCCCTTGTTGCACTTCGCCTTCGCTTTCCGACTCCGCGGCTTTTCCCCGGGCTGTGCGTTGTCCCGATCCTTAGTTTCGCCCTCGTGCGTGTAGGCCAGCTCCTTCTTGGCGTAGTCGTCAAGCGTGGACTCCTGGGTGTCCAGCTGATCACGTGCCTGCGCCGCCAAGTAAGCAAGCAACGCATCCGACTGCCCCGTTGCCGGTGGGCCGGTGGAGAGAATCGAGAGGCTCTCATCCGCGCCACAGGACGGGTCCCCGAGCGCTAGCTGACTGGGCGGGTAAATGGAGCAGGCGACCTTCTGGAGAATCGGGGCCCCCTGGGGCGGTGCGCAAAAGATAGGGACAAGGCGGAAGTCATCTACAATGGCGTTCCTATAGCGTTGACCATCCCATTAGAAGTGTGACCCCCTTTTCCGGGATAATCCTACGACATGGGCCCACACTTAACAGCTTCTCTTTATATGTTGTGTTATGTCCATTACGGCATGTAAAAAACCTGGCCCCGCACGCTTTCGACTGAAAAAACACAGTCGGCAGTCGGGAGTGAACTCACCCCGCTTATCGCTGCTTCCGACAAGACTTGCTCCACGTCCTCTGAAACTCACTCCGTGCCGTTTTATCACGACGGTAAGCGGTTTCTGCGTTCAGAGACATGGTGCTTCGACGCAACATTGCCCGACGATGGGCTCATGCCGTGCCCCTTGATTCACATGCGCACCGTGGCAGAATGGTCACAAACATGAGTAATGGGTTAGACAGGCGGCAGGGGGGCTTCTCACAAGGCTCCAGAGGCCCCGAATCCCACCAGCCCTCTGAGCGTAAGCGGCTTAGCGGATTCCTTCTCCCAGGTCCCTTCGTCCCCCTTGGGAGGGGGTTTTGTCGTTGCCCCGTATTGATAATTGGTACCCCCCGTGATTGGACCGGCCGCCAACAAATAGCAGTGCGGCCCCCATCGCCTCTGTCAGCAGAAAACTGTACAACGCGCACGTGGCGGCGAATCTAGGTCATGAGCGGGCACCCTGCCATCACTTCGCCTTGGTTTTTGACATGGACGGCCAGGGCCAAATCACATCGCTTGTCCGCTGTGCGCTCGCCCACTGCCCGCACCAGCAGCGAATGTAGACGGACTGCGGGCGCACACGCCATGCACCGTACCATCGGCGCACCTGGCACGCGTGGCGCACCTCGCGAGCGTCGCGAATCCAGCGCTCGTATTTGCTTCCGATGGCTGTCCACCCGATGGCGACCTCTGCCTGTGCTGAGTCTCGGATGCTGCTTGTAGACAGGTGTCGGACGCCCGTGTCCCCCCCAGATGGGATTGGGGGGCGAAGACGACGACCACAAGTATGTCGACCAAGACGACGATGACCAGGACGGCGACGGCGACGGAGACGATGACGACCACCACCACGAGAACAAAGACGATGACGACGAGTGCGGTGACGACTACAACAACGAGGACGGCGGCCGGCGATGATGACGCCAAGGACGACAGTGACGCCGGAGGCGGTCGCCACCGTCGACGACATCGAGGACGACGACCACCTCAGGGATCTCTGCTGGAAGCTGACTGTGCTGTGAGGTTGCAGCGATCCCGCTCCCTGAAGCAACCACAGGACCACACCACACAGGGGGGGGAGCACGGCGCTCATGCGCAGACATGCACGCAAACACGCACGCACAGCCCCCACCACCACACAACACCACAGGGGGGGAGGCATGATGGCGGGGACACCAGCGGAGGGCCCTGGACCCTGGACTATACATATGGTGGGAGGTCGGGTGAGAGTGAGCGAGATAGCTGGCGGCGTTCCCGTTGGGAACTCGACCCCTCCCCAGACCCAGAAGGGGCGGCGGGAGCAGTCAGAGCGTCCAAGATGCCCCAAGATAGGCCAAGATGGCGTCCAGGATGGCACGAGGTGGCCCAAGATGTCTTCCAGTATTCCCCAAAGAAGACCCAAGATGGCCCCAAGTGGCCACAAGGTCTCCCAAGGCTAAAGGGCGCGCCCCCCCCCATCAGAGTCCGCAGACCCCTTTGCGGGTCTCTAGGTGTGTGAGATTCTTCCCCCCCATAGTCCCCCCCAAGGGATCCCAAACCGGGGGTTCGACCACCCCCCAGCCCAGGAGGACCCCAGACCGAGCGCGTCATGGGGGGGCAGAGGGCCCCTAAAGAGGCCATGAGGGGACTCAGACGCCTCCCGGACGGTCCAAGAGAGTCCACAAATCGCTCCAAGACGCCCAAATTGGCCCCAAGACGGCCCTGCAGGCCGCCCAATCGCCCCAAGAGGCTCCAAGAGGCCTCCCAAGAGGCCAAATCATTGAGTTTCATTTCTTTTAAACAAGTTTTCGGTTCGGAGTTCTCGCCCTTACGGTTTTCCGACGCTCCAAGACCGTCCAAGAGGGCCCGAAGACCGCTCCAAGACGGCCCAAGAGACCCCCAAGACGGCCCAAGAGGGCCCCAAGACGGCCCAAAAGCCGCCGAAAACGGCCCAAGAGGCTCCCAAGACGGGCCCAAGAGAGGCCCACGAGGGGGACCAGGAACTGAAAACTCTACCCTTCCGCCCCAAGGCGCCCCAAGACGGCCCAAAGAGGCCCCAAGAGGCCCCCGAGAGGCCCCCAAGACGCCCCAAGAGGTTCCCAATACCCACAAAAGGCTCGAATAAGCCCGAAAAGGCCCCAAACCGGCCCCCAAGACGCCTCAAAACTGCCTGCCAGAGACCCCGAGAGGCCTGCAACGTCCAAAAAAGCCCTTGAGCCGTCCGGTATCGTCTCCGAAAAGCCCAACAAACCAAACCAGGCCCCGATACTTATGCCCGCGGGAATCAAAAAGTTGTCGGATGTGGCGTAAGCCTGTAGAATCAATACTGCTCAAGATGGGCTTCAACACGTCTGCAAGATGCCCCAAGATGACCCCGAGTGGCATTGGAGCCCATCAGGGAAACCCAAACCTGTCAAAGCCCTAAGGTACTTGAGTGAGTCGTACCTTCTCGCCTTGTCGGTTCCGATGGGCATCTGATGCCGCATCATAGCTCCAATATCGCCCAACAGAGCCCCAGGAAGGACACAGAAGTGCTCCAAGACAGCCTCAAGAGCGCCCAGACCGCCCTCAGGGCGTCTCAAGAGACCTCAAAGATGCGACCCTGTGGGCGCCAACGGGGGGCTGACATTTGTGCCACCACCGTTGTTTAATCGATGGTCTAAGTGACGGCTCCTAGAAGGCTCCCAAGGGCCGCGAGAAGGCCCCCGAAAGCTACTAACATTGTGCAAGAAGGCGAAGTACATTCCCCATGGGGCCTGCTGGATGCACCCAGCATGAAAGGTCACCGACATCATCTGTGGATGCGTCCTGATCATCATCCTCATGTTGCCCGTCCCGCCTCATCCTCCTCCCGCCTCCTCCCAACTAAAATGCACCAGACGTCGAGTGGAAGCACATTCCGTCCATGTTCTCTTCCTTCTGCTCGCCAGTATCCTCCTTCCAATTCCTCCTCCTCCTCCTCCTCCTCCTCCTCCCCCTCCTCCTCTTTCGTCTCCCCCTCCTTCTCCTCCTCCTCCTCCTCGCTCCTCCTCCTGCTCCTTCGAAATCGCCGCGAAGGTCTACACAATTCAGGGTCTAGGATTCCGACCGCCCTCCGCCTCCCCAACTGGGATGGGTCCCAAGCCACCCCCCCTCCCTCCAAGAGGGATGCCCCCTCCAACAACATTGGGCGAGGGAGGCGGAGACCACCCTGGGCCCCCATCGTGAGACATCTAGGCATGATGACGTCAAGACGCCAAGACGCCAACGAACCAGTCCATGCATGCATCAGGGCATCACTCCATCAACGCGTTACTGCATCAAGACATGACGCGTCAAGCCTATCAAGGCATGAAGCGAAGGCATCAACGCATCGGGCGCACCAAGGCTTCGGTGCACCCCTCCGCTCCACCACCCTCCCCTCCACCACACACCAACCCCCACACCACACACCCAGAATGGAGTTTGGGTTGTGTGTGTCTGTCTGTCTGTCTGTCTGTCTGTCTGTCTGTCTGTCTGTCTGTCTGTCTGTCTGTCTGTCTGTCTGTCTGTCTGTCTGTCTGTCTGTCTGTGTGAATGTGTGTGTGGGGAGGGGCACCCGCGCCAGATCGAGACCCTCACCGCCTTCACCCCAACACCAAACCCATGGGGGATCCCAGCGCCCAATCGAGCCCCTCAACGAACTTGCAGTCTTACCCGCCAGTCCATCATTGGGGCGGCGGGGTGGGCGAAGGGGGAGTGAACACAACACCGATGGGAAGGCGGGGGGGGGAGGGGGGCGGCCGCACGGGTCCCGCAGGTCCCAAAGTCCCACAGGGAACCCCGGCCCCACCTGCCCCACAATTCCAAGAAGTCGCACGCCTCCCACAGGCCACACGGGACCCACAGGTCCCACAGGTCGCTCAAGTCGCAGGCCCCACATGTCCCACAAGTCCCACAAGCACCACATGTCCCACGGGACCCACAGGCCGCACAAGTCGTCTCACAGGTCACACAGGCCACACGGGTCCAACAAGTCTCGTGCTACTATAGGGCGCTTTGCTGGGGTAATGGGGTAATGAGGTTCCCGCCCAAGATGGCGCAGGCGGCCTCCAAGATAGCTCCAAGACAGCCCAAGATGCCCCACACATGGACCCTGGACCAAGAGGCCCCCAAGAAGCTTCCAAAAGGCTCCCAAGAGGTCACCAAGAGGCCCCGAAGAGGCCCATGAGCGGCCCCCACTAGGCCCCAAGATGCGCCCAAGAGACGCCCACGCCATCCCAAGAGGCTCTAAAGACCCAACGAGGCCCCCAAGACGGCCGAAGAAGCCTCCAAGAGGTCCCCACGGCGCCCCCAAGGCGCACCCAAAGCGCCCACAGAGACCCCCAGGAGCCCCTAGAAGGCCCCCAAGACGTCCGACGAGGCCTCCAAGAGCCGCCGAGAGCCATCCCACGCGCCTCCACGAGGCACGCGGCATCCAGGGAAGCCTCTGGCCCATGGAGGCTCCCCGACCTCCTCACACATGGTGCCACGCTCTGCCGATTGGGGCAGCTACCTCCCCTGGACATCGTTCCTGGATGGGGTGGTGGCGTAACGCGAAGCGTTCAGAATGTACACTCCTTCCTGTCGCGCTGTTGCACACGCACGGTGGCGGGGTTTGCCGCAGGCAACTATACATACGTACAAGCATACACACATACACACATACATACATACATACATACATACATACATACATACATTCATACATACATACATACATACATACACACATACATACATACATACATACAGACAGACAGTCAGACATACATACACACATACACACAAACATACATACATACATACATACATACATACATACATACATACATACATACACCCATACATACACACACATACATACATACATACATACATACATACATACATACATACATACACACATACACACATACACACATGCATGCACAAATCCGTCAATTCGTCAATACATGCATACACATATACGCAGGCATACATACCTACGTACATACATACATACACACAGCCATACAGGCAGACACACATACATACCTACCTGCACGCATGCGTACATTCATTCATACATACATGCAGCTACATATGCACACATACGTACGCACGTACACGTATACATACATGCACCCATACATACCAGCATACATACATACATGCATACAACCATACGCGCATACACACACACACATACGGACAGACAGCCACAACGACATACATGCATACCTTAATGGTTGCATCTGTGCATGCCAGCATACATACATGCATACATGCATGCATGTCTACATGCATACATGCAGGCAAGCAAGCATACACACGTGCGTCCATCTGTACATGAATCTATACACATACATACATACACACATGCATACATGCATGCATGTATGCATGCATGACTGCATCTACATATACATGCATTCAAGCACACATACATACATGCACAGACATACGCACACCACACATATGCCTACCCATACATACACCCATGCATACATAGATACATACTCACCTGCACACAGTCATACACACATACTTACATGCATGCATACATGCATACATGCATAAACACACACATCCATACACATATACATACACACAACCATACAACCATACATGCATTCATGCATACATGCATACATACACACAAACATACATATATACATACATGCATGCATGCATGCATGCATACAGGCAAATATACACATGCACATACGCATACACATACACCTACACCTACACCTACACCCATACACATACACATACACATACACACACGCATACGCATACGCATACACATACACATGCAACTACACACATACCTACATGCATGTACAGAGGTGTGCGTGTGTGACTAATTCTGTGCATGCATGGGTAACTCCTGGGTCTGCTCTGGCTGATCCCAAGCTTCGTGTTGACGGCTGCCCCACCACTGCATGCCCCTGATCAAGGCAACTCGAATGGGAATCATTTCTAGATTGGCCGGTGGGGGGTGTCGACAGTATGTCTTCCTCCAGGTGAAAAGCCAGGGGGGCTACTCAGAGGCGGGGGGGGCTTCTCGGTAGGCCACCCCTCGCTCCACCCCCTTCAGCACGCCGCGACACCTCAGCGTTGGTCGCGGAAGAAGCCACGCTCCGCTGGTGACCCTGGACGTGGCCCTCGGAGATCAGAGCGACTCGAAGGTCATGCGGCCATGAGCCCATGGGGGCAGCGGCCGAACCCGCAGGCGGCAGGTGCTGGTCCGAACGCATCCTGTGCTCCTGGACTTGCTCGGATATCTTGATGAGGTGCTTCTGGACACCGTGGCAGTTCACAATAATGTTCCTCGCGCCAAACGAATCCACGGCCAACTGAAGCAATGCCTGGACGGCCTCGTCCCTCAGTTTCGCCATGGGGACCTGGGGCCCGCTGCTCATATCAAATACAGTTCTGTAGCACGTAGGAACAGTGAACCTGCAGAAAGCCTTCTGGCTTCAACCGCTGCCTGAAAAAAAGGCACTCTCGCACCAAAACGGCTGCGGACGTCCTATCTGTGCCCGTTGAGGCGAAAGGGACTCATTCATTCCCGTTCCACGTCTAGTGTTTGACACCCTCCGTCCGTCCTGCATTTTTCGTCCCTCTTTCTCTCTCTCTCTCTCTGACGCGCATGCCGAGGGTGCGCCACCACCCCCATCTGCTGCGTCGCCCCAAGTCCTGGGTGAACTGCTCTTCTCCACATCAAGTTTCTTCCAAGGCCAGCCACAAGCCTTTAAAATCGGCACGGTGAAAAATGATTTGGTGGGGGGCATGACTTGAAAGCAGGGCCTTCCCCGCAGGACAAGCTTTCCCTTGCCCATGTCCTAAGTATGGGGTTATTGTTGTAAGAGTCGCGCATACGCGTGCTCACTCCCTCACCTCGACCTCACCGCCTGCTCCCTCTGGTATTCAGACTCACTTCCACTCAGACTCACTTGCACTTGCCAATCATATTGCAATCCCCACATCATCGGACCACCCTCGCTCAGACTCACTCATGTTCAGACTCGCTCACGCTCAGACCCATTCGTACCTTGAACGCTCAAACTTCGACGTGGTCATGCTCAGACTCACTCAAGCTCAGACTCCACATAGTCAGACCATACCCACTCCCCGTGCTGAAACCGACTCTGAATCAGATTCCTCCCGCAGTACTTCGACGGCCCCAGCGGCCCAAGGACGGCCTCAGGGAAGCACAAAACAGTGAAACGATCCCAAAACCCGCTTCTCCCTACGCAGATCTCGGGGATCTTCTGACCCGGGTCAATCCAGACCCGGGTCAGCAGGAAACCAAAAACTGCAATGCAAGAAAAAAGCTGCAACGCACATCTTCGCAAACCCGGGCCAGCCAATACGCGCGGCCGCCTCGCGGCCACGAACGGCTCGCCAACCCGGGTCAGCCAGAGGGGGTCTTCGCAGGACCCTGCAGGATCTGGCGCCCTTGGCTGACCCCCGTTTGCACTGACCCCCGTCTCTTAGGCCCCGAGAGGAGGAGGAGGAGGAGGAGGAGGAGGAGGAGGAGGAGGAGGAGGTGGAGGGGAGGAGGAGGAGGAGGAGGAGGAGGAGGAGGAGGAGGAGGAGGAGGGAGGAGGAGGAGGGGGAGGAGGTGGAGGGGAGGAGGAGGAGGAGGAGGGGGAGGAGGAGCGGAGGAGCTGGAGGTCTCGACCAATGCCCCGGCACGGGCGCTTCCTCCCGAGTCGTCCTTGACGGCCCTGGGCCCATGGAGGAGCTCCCAGAAGCCCACGGCTGCAACACACACACACACACACACACCTCCTCCCTCCTCCTCGTCCTCCTCCTCCTCCTCCTCCTCCTCCTCCTCCTCCCCCTCCTCCCCCTCCTCCCCCTCCTCCTCATCCTCCTTCTCCTCCTCTTCCTCTTCCTTCTCCTCCTCCTTCTCCTCCTCTTCCTCCTCAGCTCGGGTCTGCGGCGGCCGCTGGGGGCGATTGGGGAGCCCTCGGAACGCCCGCGTCGAGGCGCAACTGCTGGGGAGCACCCCGAGGCAAGAATCCTCGGGGAACCGACACCTCAGGAGAAGGCGTTTTGAACAACCCCGGAGGTGTTCCAGCTATAAGGGGGTGGCGCTTGTGGATGTTGGGTGGAAGTCGAAGATGTGGTTGCCCCAGGCAGTCCGCACTCCGAACTCTTACACTGCTGGGGTCTTGACGCTTCGTGCGAGTTCGAGGCGACATGGGTCTCCGATCGGAGGAGTAGGAGGAGGAAAGAGGAAGAGGAGGAGGTGGGAGGAGGAGGCGGAGGAGGGGGATGTTTCGACGTGTGACACGATCCATCCAGGAACACGTCTCTCGCCAGAACACGTTCCGAGTCGGATGCAACGGCGAAGCCTTCTGACAGCGTAGGGAACTGGGGGGGTCCCCTCCTTCTGATAGCGTAGGGTGTGCCGAGGAAGCGTCAGCCTGTCCGACGGGTGTGGGCCACCAATCGCCAGGATGTGGAAACAGGCCTGTCTCGAGCTGCAGGTTCTCTAACTCAATGAGCACCTCCTGCCCAGCGAGATCGAGTATCTTGTTCGTAACAAGCTCCTGACGCTGACCTTTGCAAGCCTGGCATGTCCATAAACGGTGGTAAGCTGTGCCTCTAGGCATTCCACAAACTGGGCAAATGTCCTCTACTTGCTTTCCAGTCGCAAGCGCTCGAGACACCGGCCAAACCCCGCGACATGCCACGGTGCGGATGCATTCCTTGTCCAGGGCCGAGAACTTCTTGGAGGACAAACTCTCCAGGATGACGTCGGGTCGCAACCTGGAGCCCGAAGCGTACGTGTTGTGTCACTGCCTCAAGCTCCGGCAACCTGCAGACGGAGGCCCTGATCATCCCGAAGCTCGACGGGCCCCTCCATCGTCCAACCCTGGCGAACAAGACAGGGACGTGTGCCCCCAGGGTTCTCTTGATGATTCTCTGGCTGTGGCAAGGTCCACGTCTGCTCCTCCTCCTCCTCCTCCTCCTCCTCCTCCTCCTCCTCCTCCTCGAGGCTGGGTCGCCTTCCAACCTGAGCAAAGAGCAGAGCGACCTCTCGCCCGCAGACGGTTTCAGGGTGGCTCGCGACACTCGCTTGACCTTAGGCCGCTCCCCGTCCGACATGCCACTAACTTCGCACCCCCTCCAAAAGCCACGATGTCCAGCCCTTCTTGGACTGCCCTGAAACAAACGTGTCGGCCGCGCCCTGGACCGCGGCCACCGTGGGCCCCGGCTCCAGGACAGACTGCCACCGCCCGTCCAGGCCAGGCTCGCTAAGCCAGGCGCGCGCGACGAGCTGCGCGTCGGAGAATGCGGAGGCGTGCGTCGTCCGTTTGGCTCCGTTCGATGAGGGAGGGGAAGGTGCTCAGTCTGGCGCCGTGCGCGGAGTGGTCCTGCGCGCTTCCCGAACTCCATTCGCGGCGCGCACTTCAGAACTCAACCAACGGACACCACGCGAAATCACGACCCAGCACGAGCCTCCACCACGTTTGGGCCACCTTGCCGCGGGCCCCGATGAAGGGAAGGGCGACGCCCATTCTTTCGCAGGACCCCCCTCGGGGCCCGATTCGCCCATCTCCTTCTCCATGCGGTACCCGTGCTCGACCCGCTCCCTCTGGCAACGAGCCAACTGCTCTTCCAACGTGACAAGAATAGCAACGAGACGCAACTGATCCAATCGTGAGCGGCACCGAGCCGCCTCCGTGACGTTCCCGATCTTCTCGTGCAGGCTGATGTGGGACTCCAGCTGCTGGGCGGTGAGCCCCGCCAGTGGTTGGTGACGAGGAGGTTGGGGGCCTTGGAGACCAGGCACCCGTGCATCACCTTCTTGAGACTGCTTGAGCAGGGAGGCGCCAGATCTGTTTGACCACGCTGACCACTGAGACTGACTTTCGTCACCCTGGGTGGCCTCGCAGTGCTTGCAACAAAAACATACCGAAGGGGGGGTTGCGGCGACACTCGCACGTAGGGCAAATCCATTGCCTGCCTAACAATGCAACGCCACCATCAGGACGAGGATGTTGAGGACCTGGAACCAGCGATGGCCAAGATTCGCGCCAAGGTGCCATCGTATAACCACTCCCTGAAGGCTGAGAACTCCAGGCGGCATGCCACGGTCGCCAAGAGGCCCTCCCTCCTTTGCCTCCAGCGCCGCCGCCTCCAGCCATGGGCCCCGCCCGCTGGGAGGGCGTGGTGGTGGCAGCTGCTCCAGAGGGACCACGAACTCAAGCCCCAAAGGCCGCCCGCAACAGGAGCGCGCCGTTCTGGAGATATGCTGTTGCAGGCGCAGGCCGAAACGCATGACCCAGAAGGAATGGATGAGGAGGGGGAGGGAGGAGTAGGAGGAGGAAGAGGAGGAGGAAGAGGAGGAGGAGAAGGGGGAGGGGGAGAAGGGGGAGGAGGAGGAAGAGGAGGAAGGATGATAAGGAGGAGGAGAAGGATTCCGTCATCGGAATCAGAGGACGCTTCTGGGCACCCAACGCCACCTCTGCTCGCAAGCCCACTGGGCGATCCGGTCGGATATCTGGTCGGTCACGCCGCGCTCGGCCTGGTCGCAGCAGTGCGACGCAACCAACCGGCAGCTGCAAGACATCACAATGCATTTGAGGGGGCTTTACTATCTGCGGCGTGCAGTGTGATTTGTAGGGCGACAGAATCTATACATATGTACTGCTCCCTGGCCAGATCCATCCTGAACCCAGCCGCGGTGTATACGCCACGCCCTCCTGGCTTGGCCAGGAGGGCGTGTGCACAGCTCCTGGATCCAGGAACGGCCTGGCTGGCCAGGGGACAATGGTTGTGTATTGACTTCGTCGCCCGGATCCAGGGGCGCAAACGTACTGCTCGGTCATTGTGCCCAGCACGACTGTCGCCAAACAGTGCAACACGCTTCTCCGGCGCTTACATGTGCAATAGAATAGCCCATTTGCAATGCGTCGCCAAAGCGCATTGCAACTGCAACGCGCGCAGTGCCGGACAACGCACTCTATACCAAACACGCCGACTCTTGACGCAACGAATGTTGCAAATGAGCCGTCGAGGTGTTCGAAAATCTTCCGAGACGCCTGCCTGCCTTCTGCGCTATCTGTCTTGCGGGGACAGCAAGCGACCACAACCACATCGAGGACGCATTATGGGGGATATTTTGGGCGTGCCAGCAATCGTCGGTCGGCGGGCTCTCCCCCCGAGGGACCCTCCAGAAACATCCACTTCGTTGTGGTTGTGGTTCTTTGTTGCGCCCGGACGTTTGCATGTCCTGCGGCCGCTAGGAGGCATGCGTTGCAACCAACGGCGGAAGGGCGCCATCAATTTCGCACGGGCCTGTCAAATATTTCAGTGACATTATACTGTTTGCCACAGCCCCGTTTTACCTGACCCCCTTTTGAGTTGCCCAGCCCTTCCTGTATGGCAGCCAGCGAGAACGATATCGGGGGGTCTGAGACTCTTAACCCAACAATATTGCCCACAGCCGCGGTGGTTTGCCCAAGACATTCCGTGTTCGTGAAAGAAAACCCACAGTTCCAGGGGAGAGCTCCTCGTCCACCCCGCTTCCTCCTCTTCTTACCCGTCAAACAACACACTCGAAACGAGGTTTCGCCTGAGAGGTCCCAAAAAACACACCCAAAAGGAAACTCTCGTTTGAGAGGTCCCAAAAAAAAACACTCAAAACGAGGCTCCCGCCTGAGAGGTCCCCAAAAAACCCAGAAAGAAATCCAAGAGCCACCCCTCTCATCCCTGTAACTGTCCCAAAAAACCTAAAAAACCAAAGTTCCAGAGGAGAACTCCTCGTCATCTTCCAGAGGGCGGGTAAGAAGAGGAGGAAGCGGGGGCGGGGGAGTTATCCTCTGAAACTTTGGTTTTTTTTTTTTTTTTTTTTTTTTTTTTTTTTTTTTTTTTTTTTTTTTTTTTTTTTTTTTTTTTTTTTTTTTTTTTTTTTTTTTTTTTTTTATGTTTTTTGGTACAGTTACAGGGATGAGAGGGGTTGCTCTTGGATTTCTTTGGGTTTTTTTGGGACCTCTCAGGCGGGAACCTCGTTTTGAGTGTTTTTTTTGGGACCTCTCAGGCGGGAGCATCGTTTTGGGACCTCCCAGGCGGGAGCACCGTCACGTGGGAGGTTCATGCTCTCCTCCTTCCTTTCCCCTTCTCCCTTTCTTTCCTTCCTCCTCCCTCACCCTCCTCCTCCTCACTATCTCTCTCTCTCTCTCTCTCTCTCCCTCTCTCCCCCCTCTCTCTCTCTATCTCTCTCTCTCTCTCTCTCTCATCACTTATTATATATATATATCTCTCAGTATCTCGTTTCCTCTCTCCCTCTCAATGTCGGAAGCGCAATACTTTTTCACTGTTGGAACGCAGTGCTCTGGATCCATCGAAGCGCAATGCTTCGTCCTCGTCGGGAGCGCAATGTTTCCTTCTCGTCGGAAGCGCAATGTTTCCTCTTCGTCGGAAGCGCAATGCTTCCTCCCCGTGGGAAGCGCAATGTTTCCTCCTCGTCGGAGCAACGCCTTGGATCCGTCGAAGCGCAAGGCTTCGTGCTTGTCGGAAGCGCAATGTTTCCTATTCGTCGGAAACGCAATGTTTCCTGTGTGTCGGAAGCGCAAAGTTTCCTCTCTGTCGGAAGCGCAATGTTTCCTCCTCGTCAGAAGCGCAATGCTTCATGTTTGGTGGAACGCATTGTTCTGGTTTCACCGAAGCGCAATGCTTCGTCCTCGTCGGAAGCGCAATGTTTCCTCGTCGGAAGCGCAACGTTTCCTCCTGTGTCGGAAGCGCAATGTTTCCTCCTCGTCGGAACGCAATGCTCTGGACCCCTCGAAGCGCAAGGCTTCGTGCTTGTCGGAAGCGCAGTGTTTCCTCCCCCTCCCTTCCATTCCCAGGCACGAAGGTCGGTGCGACGCCCGATTCGGTGAGAGACACATAATTAGCGACATGGAAAGGGATGGGAGGGAGGGGTAGGATGTCAGATGTAGCGCGAGCGCACCTAGCTTGTTCTCTCTCTCTCTCTCTCCTTCTCTCTCTCTCTCTCTCTTTCTCTCTCTCTCTCTCTCTCCCTCTCTTTCTCGCTCGCTCCCTCCCTCCCTCCCCCCCTCCCTCCCTCCCTCCCTCCCCCCCATCCACCCCCATCCCCCTATATCAGTATATCCCTCTCTCTCTCTCCCTCTCTCTCTCTCTCTCTCTTTTCTCTTCTCTTTCTCTCGCAATCTCCCTCCATCATTTGCTCGTCGGCAGCCTGCTCAGCAGTTCCCTCGCCCGTCACATCCATATTGTCGTTGTCTCGACGTCGTTTCCGTAGCTTTCCGCGTGGGTCGAGCACTTCCCTCTTCGCTCTCGCACCCTGCACCTAGACTCGCGCCCTCGCCATGCTCGCCCTGGTGGGTTACGCGGCCAAGACCCAGCACCCCGTGAAGGCGAGCACAGGCTGCGCCAACGCGGACATGACCGCCGCTTCCGACCACTACGCGGTCGTCCTCGACGGCGTCAGCGGCGCCCCAGCGCCAATGACCCCCGAGGGACTGGCGCAGGACATGCGCGACTCTCTCCGCTACTTCTTGGCTCGCCGGCTCGCGCACGGCACTGATCGGGACGACTTCGACGCCGAGGTGGCCAACTTCTTAAACCCGAGCCGTGTGCCCACGACGCCTACCGCGGGCTTGTGGCTCGAGAACTTGATCGTTATGGCGGGGATCTTTACCGAGTCACTGGGAAGCACGTGCATGGCGGTCGCCACCATCATCGGGAAAAAGCTCACCGTGTACCACTTGGGCGACTGTGTCGCCATGCTCTTCCGCTACTGCTCGATGCTGGGAGTGTGGCGCGTTGCCTTTCGCACGGTGGACCACAGAGTGCAGATGCTTGACGCCCGCGGTAACAGCGTGATCGGGCCGCTTCAGTTCACCGTGTACAACGACCAGCATCGCACAATCGAGGCGCTGAAGCAGACGGTCCGCCAGGGCACCGTGCAGCTGGTCAAAGACGTCCGCCCAGGCGACGTGCTGATGCTCTTCAGCGACGGCGTCGCCGACAACGCCACGGACGAGGAGCTCTGCCGCATCTTGAGCAACTCCACCCCCCTTGATCACGCCTCAATCGCGCACGCCGTCCTGGCGCACTGCTGCCGCAACGGAGCGCCGAAACCCGACGACATCAGCGTCTACGTCGGCACCGTGTTCTCGCAGTAGGTATGTCCCGTCCGCCGTAGTCTTTCCCTTGCCTCTGTCTCTCTCTCTCTCTCTCTCTCTCTCTTTCTCTCTCTCTCTCTGTCTCTCTCTCTATCGCTCTTCCTCTCCTCCTCCCCTCCCCCCTCGCCAGCCTCGACGATTTTTTAATTTTCCACGAGGCTGTCAGATTTGTAATGGCACCGAGACAACATACATCAGCCGTAGTTGTAATAAAAACACATTTCGCTCATCTTGCGCCGACTGCTGGCCGCGAGACCATGGATTCCTTCGGCAAAAAGAGCATTTGCGAAGCCGGCGCTCGCATCTCGATTGCCAGAAGCCCAAAAGAGACCCCAAGACAACATATGTCAGCCGTAGTTGTTGTAAAAACACATTTCGCTCATATTGTGTCGCTTGCTTGCCGCGAGGCCATGGATTCCTTCGGCAAAAAGAGCATTTGCGAAGCCGACGCTCGCATCTCGATTGCCAGAGGCCCAAAAGAGACCCCAAGACAACATATATCAGCCGTAGTTGTAGTAAAAACACATTTCGCTCATCTTGTGTCGCTTGCTTGCCGCGAGGCCATGGATTCCTTCGGCAAAAAGAGCATTTGCGAAGCCGACGCTCGCATCTCGATTGCCAGAGGCCCAAAAGAGACCCCAAGACAACATATGTCAGCCGTAGTTGTTGTAAAAACACATTTCGCTCATCTTGTGTCGCTTGCTTGCCGCGAGGCCATGGATTCCTTCGGCAAAAAGAGCATTTGCGAAGCCGACGCTCGCATCTCGATTGCCAGAGGCCCAAAAGAGACCCCAAGACAACATATGTCAGCCGTAGTTGTTGTAAAACACATTTCGCTCATCTTGTGTCGCTTGCTTGCCGCGAGGCCATGGATTCCTTCGGCAAAAAGAGCATTTGCGAAGCCGACGCCCTCATCTCGATTGCCAGAGGCCCAAAAGAGACCCCCAAACAACATACGTCAGCCGTAGTTGTTGTAAAAACACATGTTTCTATATCCTGTCGTTGGGTTGCCGCGATACCGTGGGTTCCTACTGCAAAAAACAGCATTTGCGCAGCCGGCGCTCGCATCACGACAACCAGAGACCCAAACGTGACCCAAAAACAACATATGTCAGCCGTAGTTGTAGTAAAAACACATTTCGCTCATCTCATGCCGCTTGCTGGCCGCGAGGCCATGGATTCCTTCGGCAAAAAGAGCATGTGCGAAGCCGACGCTCGCATCTCGATTGCCAGAGGCCCCAAAGAGACCCCAAGACAACATATGTCAGCCGTAGTTGTAGTAAAAACACATGTGTCAATATCTTGTCGCTGGGTTGCCGCGAGACCGTGGGTTCCCACGGCAAAAAAAAACAATTGCGCAGCCGACGCTCGCATCTCGATACCCAGAGGCCCAGAGGATACCCCACAACAACATATATTAATCCTACTTGTGGTAACAACGCATTGTTCTCATCTTGCGCGGTTTGCTCGAGTTGTGGCTCAAGGGACGAGCCGCCCTAGCGCCGCCTGGCCCGCTGCGCCCTTGCGCGCGCCTGCCCCCCCCCCCTGCGGCGCCGCGCGTCGCTGCGATGATCGCGGCAGCGACGGTCGTCAAGAACCTCACCATGCACAGGCTGGCTTTTCCAATCCTCTCAGACGACGAGACGGGCACGACCAACCCTGCCGAGGATCTCCCTTTTACACCTGTTGACACCGAGGCGGACGGCCCAATGAAGAAGGTCGTGCACTTCGTGGACATCGTGTCCGACCACCGCGAAGACATCAACAAAGACGCTATCTTGGAGCACTTCCGTCGCAAGACATTCAAGGACCTGCCCATGCCTTTCCGCTTGAAGGAGGAGCCCCCGAGCGATTACACCATGCAGCTGTTCGTGGTGCCGAGGGGCGACGGCGGGAAGTACATCATCAAGCACTACATCATGAAGAACAAGGTCAACATCCACAGCCTCCCGAGCATTTGCGCTGGTCAGGCGCATAAGATTGCGTGGAGCACCCATGAGAAGTCAGGGACGAAGGCGCTGCAGCACCTGCTCATGCACCTCCCTGGATTGAAGATCAGGTACTTCACGTTCGACCACCGCGACCTCAACAATCAGAAAGAACTCATGGACGAGTCGAAAGTCGACCAGGGGTTCGGTTACATCGAGGAGCATGCCCGTCTGATCCAGAATGAGAGCCACCTTCGGTGGATCACCAAGGAGCTGAACAACGAGGCCAGCCTCATTTTCGGGTGGAAGGAGTCGCTTGTGAAAGAGATCATGAGGGGCGTCGCAAACGAGGCGGTGCTGTGCCAAGAGCATATTGTCTGCCCCGTCACGCTGCGCAACATCAAGCGCTCCTTCCTGGTCGGCGCCCTCAAGCCCATGATCGAGACGATGGGCGAGCATGCTCTGATGATGATTGGCGAGCCTGGGATCGGAAAGACTTTCGTGGGTCGCTCAGTCGCCCTGGCCCTCGCCAGGCGGTGGGCGCGCAAGATCGGCGGCGAGCGCGTGGCCATGCTGAAGAGCACGACGGAGTTCGACTTCTTGCGCGGCCAGCCAGGGGAGAAGAGCTGCGCTTGGGTGCACGACGACGGGGCGCTGAACGAGCAGCGCGTTCGGGCCATCAAGTCCTTCACGGACGTCGGGGATGACGAGTCGATGATCTGGGCCCGCTGGGGGGCCACAAAATGCGTGCAGGAGCAGCCCCGCTTGATCATGGACAACACGTTCAACCCAGCCACGCTCCGCCCGACCATCGGCAGCTCCCCGTCGATCTCTCACGGGGACTTCCTGGCCGCCGTGTCGACAACCTTCCCCCCAGGGACGACTCTAGCCAACCTCATGGCGTGTCTGAAGCGATCGCACTTGACCCTCAACTTCACGCACACCGACGGCAAGGTCTACGTCCTCCACCGCATCGCCTCCGAGGGCACTGAGCCCGTTCCGTGCTTTGTGTTGGACGAGTCGAACTTCATCAACATGGACGGCAGGCGCCGCATTGGCTTGTGGAAAGAAGGCAACCGCCAGTTCGGGACCGATCGCGACCAGGACGTGATGTGGGAGCAGAACTGGCTGACACAGCTCCTGGAGGACGACGAAGTCCCGCAGGGTGCCGACGACTCGGGCGCGGAGGACGTTGCCGCGGCTGCCGAGCCCCAGCGGTTCGGCAAGCTGAGCTTGGGGGACATCTGGGGCAGCGCAGCAGCCGCGCCAAGGGGCGGCGTGCCCGCGGCCGCGATGCCAGCCCCAGCAGCGCCAGAGGGCGCCGTGCCCGCGGCCCCGATGCCAGCCCCAGCCGCGCCAGAGGAGGCTCCCCCAGCCAAGCGGGCGAAGCCTGACACCCAGGGGCCCCGCGCGGTGTCCCCCGAGCCTTTCGCGGACGGCTTCAAGTGCGATCGCATCGGGCGCGACCGCGACGACGACGAGGACGAGGAAGAGCCACCGCGCGGGACCCCCGCACAGGAGATCGAGCGGCTCTGGAAGCTCCGCCAGGCAGGCGCGATCTCGCTCAAGGAGTTCAACGCCTTGAAGAAGGGCGCAATCAATGATGGGTTCGACGCCATGAAGAAGGTGGCGCCCGCCAAGAAGGAGGAGCGCAGGGCCAAGCGGGAGCGGGCGCCTCGCGGACCGATCAAGCGGGACCCCGATGGCCCCTGCAGGGCGGCGGGCTCGACCGATCAGGCTGCCAAGAAGGAGGTGTTCTCGGCGACGCCAGTGGACAGTTCGACGATGCAGGAGCTCTTTCCAGGCTCGGGGAGGGCAGAAGCCGGGCGGCGTTCGCGAGGCGAGGCGTCAAAGGGACCGCCCGTTTGTCGACCAGCGGGTGCTTGAGTTGCGCCCCGTTGGGTCGCGAACACGGTTGGCCCTTCGGGCAACTTGTAACGGGCGGTTCCTTTGCGCGCCTCCATTCGGCCGCCTTGCTTCTGCGCCCTCAACAGGCGCCGTGGCGATCGACTCGGACGAGGACTGAGGCCGCCGCCGCGGGGGGCCATGCGTAGCATATGATTCTGGCAGCGCCTGGCAGCCGAATTCGCTCGGGAAGGCATGCTACTTTTGGGGCGTACCCACATCGTTGGGGGGTGCAGACAAACTGCGCAAGTCTTTATATGAGTGCTGCGCGCGTGGCAAGGGTGGGCATCGCATGCGCGGGCACCCGCGCGTCCTTGCATCTGCGGGCCGCCGTGCGCCAGCCATAGCCCTGCAAGCTCCTAGGCGGGGTTCAAGGGGATTGCATCATTGCCGTGCTAATGACACCATCGCAACGGGGTTCCCTCGATTCCTGGCAGCCGAACGTCGTCGCCCGAACACTCGGTGGCAATCCCAGGGCATAATTCTCTCGGGGATACATGCTACTGTTGGGGGTATCCAGACCGTTTGGGGGAGACGCATACATGTGTCAGAAGTATGTATTCATGCATGCTGCGCACGTTGCAAGGATGGGCATCGCGTGCGCGGGCACCCGTGCGCCCTTGCCTCTGCGGCCCACCGATAGCTAGCCATAACCCAGAAAGTTCCTATGCGGGGGTTCAAGGGGATTGTATCATTGCCGCGCTATCGGCACCATCGCAGCGCATTCCTCTTCCTTTTTGTCGTTTAGACTTGAGGCTCAAACTCGTCGCGCGCACCTCGGTGGGAAGCCCAGTGCGAGCAATGCAGTGCGAGGTCTGCGACCGCGTCCCAGCGCTCGGCTCTGCAGGGAAAAGCAACGGGCCCCCATGGCCGTGCAGTTCAGTGGGTGGGGGTGTTGGGGCGGCATTGCGATTGGGTTTTCTTTGACGGGGGCAGCGGCCCGTCTCCCCCCCGTGAATGTGCTGGGATATGACGCGGCACGTTCCCCCCCCCCCCCCCCATCCCCCGCCCCCCCGCCGCAGGCTTCCCGCTGCCTGCCGCCCGCGTGTGCCGCGGCTGCCTCACGCGCATGCTGGGCACGGGGGACTTCTGGCCGCTGTCGGAGCAGTGCATCCTCGGCGCCATGCATCCCGACTTGGGAGCGCCGCCCGCCATCCACCTCGATTGGGACGAGGAGGACGAGGACGACGACGAAAGCTTCCACGATGGCGACCAGAGCATCGACGAGCACACCGAAGCGGAATCCGATGGGACGGAAACCGATTCGGACAGCGACGAGGGCGGTGACGTCGATGCCAGCGAGACGTCCTCCACGGCGTGCCCGTCGGACGACGACATGCTGGAGGGCGACGAGGATACCGGCGATGCTGATGACCGCTACTTCGCCGATGTCGCGTGGGTCTCCGACGACGAAGCCGACGGCGTCGTGGCGATCGACTCGGACGAGGACTGAGGCCGCCGCCGCGGGGGCACATCGTTTGGGGAGGTAAACAACATGTGCAAGTCTTTATATGAATGCTGGACCCTGAGACGGAGGAAACACAAGTCAGTTTTGAACAGTGCAGCCCCGCCCTGTCACCCCTCGCTCATCGTTCCCGCGTCACCGCTTCGCTCCTCCTCCTCTTGTCCATCGCCGCCCTCCTCGCATATCCCCTCCTGCGCTCGGCGAGGCCTGTCTCTCTGAGGAGGCATTTGCATGTTCGTGATATTAGCGTATCAGTTGGCACATCGAGCTGTTCAGCGTTGCGTCCAACCCTGGGCGGGCTGAGAATCGGACACCCGTTGTCATGCGTGTTTGCACTTGGGCCGCCGCTCATGGACTGGGCGCGCAGCGGGCCGTTCTGCTCGCCGTCATCGCCGACGCTGCCAACGCACTCCTCGTTCTTCGATGCTTGTCTGCCGTCGCCGTTTTGGCTCGAGCGGGCCGCAGGCACCCCGCCGCTTTGGGCGATCGCCCAGTGCCCGAGCATTTTCGGCGCGGCCGCGCCTGCGAATCGCCCGCCCGCATGCCGAGGCTGGCCAAGAAGTGGGCCCTCAAGCAGGCGATGAAGACGGCGAAGAAGCCCGCGAAGACGCGCGGCGCGAAGCCGGCGGCGAAGAAGCCCGCGAAGGCGCGCGGCAAGAGGACAGTGATGAGACGGCCCGCGAGGGCGAGTGGCAAGGGCGCCGAAAGCCGCGCCGCCAAAGCGTTGCGTGTGAACGGGAAGTTCCACAAGGATGGCCTCACCTACAGCGGCAAGTCGGCATCAACCCCTGCGCAGACGACCACGCTGCGTCGCTTGGACCAGCAGCCCTACGAGGAGATCAGCGCCCTGAGCCAGAACGGCGCAAAGAAGGTGTTGCTGGAGGCTGGCGTTCTGCCACGTCGCGGCGAGGCGGCGTCGTTTGCATGCTGGCAGTGCGGCGGCGAGATGAGCAAGAACGGCAACGGCTTCAGGTGCGCGGCGGCGAACTGCAGCCGCCCGCGCATCGCCCACCCAGACGTGGCCTACACGCCGCTCGCCCGCTTCGACGCAGGAGGCTACGATCGTGACTACAAGATGTGCTTGCGCACTGCCTATACATTGGGATGCAAGTTGCCCAACGATGCCGCAACCCAGATCGCGCGGCAGAAGGGTGACAGTATCATGGCCGCAGAGCGCAAAGTGTCGGAGTTCTACGCGATGCACAAGGTGGCGCTGGCGCACTCGGAGGTGGAGCACACCCGCGACACAGTGTTCGAGGACGAAATAGTCGAGGTTGATAGCTCCCGCATGGCATGCAAGAAATTGACGGGCGGCATGAAGAGCCACCAGGGCCGTCTGCTGGCAGTGAAGGAGCGGTTCTCAAAGAAGTGGACGGCCTCAATGTTGCCGACGAGGAACTCCAAGGCGAAGCGTGGGTCTGGCGGCCCAGAGTCGCTGGCGGAGGTGCGCGGCCCCCTGGCCCACGCCATGGGCAAGGGCACGGCGCTGGCGCCCGACGGCGCCCAAGCTTTCCACTCCGCCGCCGCGGAGATCGGCGTGCCCAGCCTGCCTGGCGTGAACCACCAGGACAAGGTCTTCACACCCGTGACGAGGCTGCTGAAGAGCAAGCTCCCGAAGCGCACAGCCGCCGCGCTGCGCCGTCACTCCCGCGGCAAGGCGCCTGCCGTTCAGGAGACGAAGTTGTACTTCAAGCTCGTGGCGGGGGATAACTCAGTGGAGTCGGTGCAGGGGCACATCAAGAACACGATGCGCCGCGTGGGCAACGTGGGTAGGCACAACGCCAGCGAGACAAAGAAGGCGGTTCAGACTCTGTCAGGAGCAGCCTTACTGAGGCGCGCGGGCGTGGCCAGCGTGTTGGACGCTTTGCGCCGTTATCGTGTCGCGCTGTCCACTGGCGTTGTGCAGCTGTCCCCGCGCGAGTGCTTCCGCGCGGAGTCATGCGTTTGGGCCGTGGCCGCCGAGAAGGGGGAGGCGAGCTGAGTTCTCTCTTGGGGTGGGCGTGTAGGGGGCGCAAGCATGCCCGCAGCAGTCTCTCCGCGGCGTGCCGCCGCCATGGATCGCAGACAGCAGGCTCGTGCGCAGAGATGGGGGCGCGCGCGACGAAACATGCAGTCCTTTTCATCGTCGTCGTCAATCCGACCATTATCGGGAGCCGCCCTTTCCCCTCCTGATGTGCACGCAGCAGATATTGCAGGACCCAGATAACGCAGTAGTCAGACGCATGCGCGCGCAAACGTGCACGCACAGAGAACTGCAGAAGGAATGCGAGGATGAAATAAGAAGACGAGTAATGATAATGCTGTAACCATGATGATGACGATGAATACGAACAAGGAATGTCTCGGGCAAACCACCGCGGCTGGTCGCAATATTGCCATCTCCTTGGGGCGCATCCTCTGCCTTCCGCCGGCCTTCCGCAGGCTTCCGCCAGCGGAGGCGGCCTCGTTCTACTTTCGCCGCCTTCCGCCGAACTGTCGCCGCCTTCCGCCGGGGAAGAGATGCCAAATCCTTCGGTCCTGGAAGGCGAAGCCTTTCCTGGAATCCGCCAAATAGCGGCAAACTCGATACACGTCTTTTCTCCGCTTCCGCGGCCCATTCCCTGGGACCGGCTCTTCGTCCCAGATTGTTCTTTGACGGTCCTGGCGGGCGGGGGGAAGTAGCCAGAGGCCGAAAACAGCAAACAACCTTGCGTCATGATTTGCGGGTCTGGGCCAGGGAGAATGTCGCAACACTCGCGCGCAGCAGTGATCCTCCTTACCTCGGGCATCACTCTGGACCCCGCCGCTCTGTACCCTTGTTCCCTCAGCGGGCTCAAGCCTCACGCCGACGGATGGCTTCATGTGCTCGTCAGGCTCAACCGTGGAGGCTAAACGTTCACGCGAAACCGAATCCATGACATATTCCGCCATTCTGGAGCACGGCCCAGGCAGCAACAACCGCAGGTTCAAAAAGTGCTTCCAGCGCTCGCTCTCAGATTTCACATTCCCAGGGGCAGCCGCCGATCCTGCCCAGCCACGCACTCGCGGACTCTGTCTGGCGACACGCCCACGTTATGGCTTATGTTTCGTTGTATTGGTTTCCATCCACGGTAATGCTCATGATCTTTGCAGGTCTTGACCATCACCCCTCCCCTTCATGGCGGCCCACGGTCGGATATGGTATCTTTTCTCTCCGCTCCGGGTTGGCCCGCCAGGGCGGCCCTTGCCGCGCCGCGCCCCCGCGGCCGCGGGCGGGGGCCCGGAACAAGAGCGCGAGAGCTCGTGCGAGTGCGCCTCCACGAAGGTCTCGAAGACCTTGTGGAGGGGAAGAACACGTGGATCATGCCCAAGACTGAACTCGGAAACGTTGTGTCGATCTTGGTCACCATCCATCTTGGTCCGCACCAACTGGTGGATCATCCTTGCGTGGGCGACGGCCGACATGGACCATGACAAAGATCGGCAGAGACAAGATCCCGGGACATCTCGGCCATGGTCCCCCTGCTTCTTCCCTCGAACCTCTGCGGGTGGGGGCGAGACAGGGAAGGGTAGCAAAGGGTCGGGTCGACTGGCTCCTCTCGGGTGAATGCATACAGACCCGGGTCAGTCGGGCCTGGCAGGATCCTGCAGGATGCTGCAGGATCCTGCACCCAAAAGCCCAGGTCAATGCGCCCCTGGCTCTTCAGTATCCTGCAAGATCCGGCGCTCTGGCTGACCCCCGTTTGCATCGACCCCCGTGCAATGAGCTCCGATACTCTTGGCGCTTTTTGACGCCGGGAGGCGCCCATGCATCGAGGAATAGGCCCGGCGGCGGGGCCCAAACCAGCTGCGTGCAGCAGACATCGTAACCCCACTTTCCCTATCTCATATTTTCGTCCGGCCCGAAACTCTGCGGGGACACTGCGTGTTCGGTCGGACTCTGCGAGGCGGGGTTGCGCGCGCGACCAGCGCTTGGGGCATCGAGCTTCGGGCGGTTCGGCAGGCGGTGGAGATGGACAGCTTTGGTTCCCCCCTATGGCCCGTATATATCCTCGATTCTCGCTTCGTTGGCGGTTTCGTCGGTCCCTGAAGGGCTTCCCGCGTCGGGATGATTTCCAGCAGCTGCACCTCGCCGAAAACGTTCTACGATGGAGCACTAGTTGTCCCAACGGCCGCCAGGGGCCCGAGCTATGCGCCGCAATCCACAAATCTTGTTCCAGCCCCAACGTCTCAAAAGTCAAAGCAAATTGCGTTTTCGCGGCTGTCGGCAATTGGGGGTCGTTCTGGGGCTCCAGAAGCACGGAGCAAAAATCGGACCCCGCATGATAATCTCCCAAAACGAATCCGGAAGTAAACCTCATCGCCGTACAACTGGCGCCGCTGCCAGGGGCTGCCCCGCAGCCTGGCCGTGGCAGCCCCGCGCGCTCCCCGCGGCGCCGCCGCTTGAGTGCCCCCCCGCCTTTCGCCCTTCCTCCGCGGCCGCCCTCTCCTCCCCCTCTTCCCCTTTGGCCTGCGGGACAACTCGCAACTCAGCAGCCCTGTTTTGCTCCACGCAAGAGCGGATCGCTTCTGCCACGCCGCTACGGAAACATTGTGTGTGTGCGTGCGTGCGTGCGTGTGTGTGTGTGCTTTTGTTTGTTTGTTTGTTTGTTTGTTTGTGTGCGTGTGTGTCAGTGTGTGTGCGTGCGTGCGTGCGTGCGTGCGTGCGTGCGTGCGTGCGTGCGTGCGTGGGTGGGTGGGTGGGTGGGTGTGCGTGCGTGCGTGCGTGTGTGGTGTGTGTGTGTGTGTGTGTATGAGTGTGTTCTGCGTGGGCCCGCCGTAATCGACGACATCGGCGACGACGGCGACGAGGCGCTGCGGATGCCCGTGGGGAGGATGCTGCGTGGGCCCGCTGCAGTCACTCGACGGACGACGAGTTATGGAACCACGAGCACGACGACGACGACGCGCTGCGGATGCTCCAAGGGCGGGGGGGGGCGGCTTCATGGGCCCAGTGAAGCTGACGAAGACGCTATGCCTGCGTATATTCCATGGGGAGGGGTACTGCGTGGGCCCGCCGAAGCAGACGACAACGACGACGACGACGAAGGTGACCACGACGACGGAAATACGATTGCAATCCGATTGGGATCTTAGTCTGGATCCTCTTGGAATTCTGTTGGGATGCGATTGGGATCCTTCTGGAACCCTATTGGAGCCCCGGAGCCCTATTGGAATCCTTTTCGAACCCTGAGGGGATCTTGTTGGAATCCTATTGGAACCTTCCTTGGATGCAATTGGAATCCGATTGGAATCCGATTGGAACCATGGAAGCGCAATGAAGCCCAGGAGTCCGATTGGTCTGCGGATATTTCAATTCCACCTGACCCCCCTTATCAAACAATTGTTTTGCTCTGCCGTTCTGAAGAATAGACCACGCCAGGAAATCCCCTTCCCCTGCATTGACCGTGTTATGTTAGCACCGGAACTCCAAGAGCATACTTCCCGCGGGGGGGGGGTGCAGGGAGGATGATAAGGAATCCTATTGAAATCCTGATGGCATCCGATCGGGATCAATTGGGGTCTGATTGGAACCCCATTGGGATACGATTGGAATCACATTGGCACCCTTAGGAGTCCTATTGAAATCTGATTGGGATATCATGAAACCCTGTGAGAAATCCTATTGGAATATGATGGGAGATTTGAGGGATCCTATTGGGATTCGATTGGAACCGGATTGGAATATGATTGGGATTTGCCTGGGATCCTATTGGAATCCGTTTTGAATCCTATTGAGATCGGAAATCTGATTGGGACCTTATTTGAATCCTATTGGAATCAAGTTGGACTTCAGACTGCAATTCTATTGGGATCTGAGTGGGGTCTGATTTGAATCTTACGGGCCCCCTTGGGGATCCAACCGGGATCCTCTTTGAACCCTAATTACTTGAATTCGATTGGATTCCGATTGGGACCGTACTGGGATAATGTTGCAAGCCTCTTGGGCTCTCATTGGAATCCGATTGTGGCCTTGTTGCTCTTGGCGGGATCCCGCACGGGTCCGGGCGCGGGATATCACATCCAGGGGGCGAGAGGCTGGTTTCGCCGAAAGGCGGGGATCGACAAATGCACTTCGGGGCTACAGCACACACCTCTGATAAGACATCCCCCTACACAGCGCCGGCACTTAGAAGGCTCAGCTCTCCCATTGTGCTCTGAGGAACTGGGCCCGGTGGTCGGTCTGGCCGGCACGTAGCCACCCATCGGCGCCCTGTCGCGGCCTCGTCGCCGCCCGTCGCCCGGGCCCAGTTGTTTGCTCCGGCTGGCACGGTCGCCACCCGTCGCCGCCACGTCGCCGCCTCGTCGCCGCCCGTCGCCGCCCGTCGCCACCGCCCCGTTGGCACCCCCCCCACCCGTTACGGTGCAGTGGTGCTGCGGCACTGCATATCCGATTGCATTGCGTTGCGATCGCATTGCGAGGCAATCGCACTGCATTGCATTGCATTGCCATCGCATGGCGTGACAAGCGGTGACACCACACATGGGCTGCTCAACGTACACTGCACGGCACACAGCTTACACCACATACACTGCACCACATTGATGGTGCCGCATATTTTGCACCACGCAGCTTGCACCACGTAGATTGCACCACATAGCTTGCACGACATAGTTCACACCACATACATTGAACTGCGTAGCGTGCGCCCCTCTAGCTCACACCACATATATCGCACTGCGTATGTTGCATCATTTAGATTTCACAGCATAGCTTACACCAGATTGACGGAACTACATGCGTTGCACCACTAAGCTCACACGCCATATATATATATATACATATATATATATACAAGACTGCATTGGCGCTGCGCGCCATGCACCTTGGTCCTTTGAGTTCTGCACGCAAGCGGGATGCGTGCGTGCGAACATGCGCGCCTGCACGTATACACACGCGCGTGCATGCACGTTCCGTGTAAATGTCTAGGTGTATGCAATATACTTTCACTGTTGTATGTGTATACAGCGTACATATGTAAA